GAAGAACCCCTCGGCCAGTCGATGGCGCGAGAATCTCTTACCGCCATTCCGTCGAGCTCATGTCCTCGAGGAATAGGCGTCTGGCGAGGATGGTAGCGTCGTTTACCTGTTGAAGGCATGACGATGTCCCATCCGCCCGTGCTTTCTCGCACCAGAAGGTCGACTAGATGCCGCGATGTGCTTTCACGCACATGACCCCCCTTGCGGCGGCTCTCGAAGAAGTCATCGATAGCTTGAGCCTGATCTCGCGGGAGCGGCCACTGCCGCGTCACACAATACTTCGAGCCGGGCACGAGATCGATCTCGTGGCGAATTCCTCGGTCAGCTGGCAACTCAGCTGGGATCTTATCCGAAAATACATCTTTATATTCGCGGGCGGTCTCGTAGACTGGATTGCCGGATTCGCGTAGCGCGTCCCAAGACTGCGCTGCAAAGCGCTCCTCGCGGGCCGACTTCGGCCCAGCGCTCTTTGGGCGCGAGGGATCGTCGCCGTCACTGACTGCATTCACTTCGAGCGACGCCGAATCGGCGTCGGTGATCAGGCAAACCTGTTCGATTGCATCGTCCTTGAGGTCGCGAAGGAAGTTCTTCCAGGAGAGACCTGGAGCTCGAGTGATCGACCCTGCCTCGCCAGGCGGGTTTGCAAGCTCGAGTGTTCGTCGGCGGCCAGAGCTACCTACCACATACCTCAAGCACGCAGCCGACTCCGTCGGTGAGCTGTCACTTAGTACGGGCTCTCGGCGAGGTTTCAGCCGACGCCGCTTCGACTTCCTCTTTCGCCGCCTCGAGTGCGAACTCGAGGATGATGAGTCGCTCTCGCTGGACGAGATGTCACCCCCCTCTAGCGGGAGCCCCTGCTCGACCGCGGTAGTGTTCAGCGGGAGCGCCAACTGCTCGACCACCGGCTCAATTGACGGGAGCCCCTGCTCGACCGCCATCTCGTTCGTCTGCGGGAGCCCCTGCTCGACCGCCATCTCGTTCGTCTGCGGGAGCTTCTGCTCGACCGCCATCTCATTCGTCTGCGGGAGCCCCTGCTCGACCGCCGTCTCGTACATCTGCGGGAGCCCCTGCTCGACCACCAGTTGGTCTTCATCCCCGCGGCGCCGCGGGGACTCGTCAGTTAACAGCACTGCGCAAGCCGTGCAGAGAGGTTATAGAAATGAAATGCTGGCATATTAGTCGGGAGCATTTCAGAAGTACATGTACCAGTAAATTACCGACATCGAGCCTTAGAAGAACGACTCTGAAGATCGTCATCATTACCGGAAAAGTCGTAAAGATAGAGCGCTCATGGAAACTAATAAATCTTTCGTTTTGTGAGGGTCTAGCGCTACTTCACAGATTACTTTAAAATAAGAAAGCCTTTGCATAATTAATAACATGTTCATTGCTAGTGCATCAAAGTGCTATATCATTACGACTTTTCCGGTAGTAAATTGGATTGGATAATTAAGGGTTATTTTCCTGAGGCTAGATTCTCTTTGTTTTGCTTGCTCTATGAATAAGGAACGCGCGTCTCCCTATTAATAGCTCATCGTAGATAACAAAAGATTGCCATAACGAATAAATTTTGTTGTGTAGCAGTTTTCTATTAGAATTAGTAGAATAATGTGGATATAACTGACTGTGGTGGTGCAGTACTGACTTAACCCCTTAGTTCCCGCATGTTGGACCGCTCAACATAACGGGTGTATCTTTTTTTTTGGGCATCTATGTTATGCTGGACCTCCAACATA